TCAAAACATACCCCACATCTACGTGTTGGTCTGAGATGTCGAGAATAAATAAAACATAAACATTTTGAACAAAAAGTCACAATTTAAGAATAAAGTCAACATATTTCAAGCTCCTCTCTCTCTCTCTCTCTCTCTCTCTCTCTCTCTCTCTGTGTTTGTTCACTCCAGAGATAATGTGAAAGAGTTTGCTCAAATATTAGTCGGGACAATTCTGTCCTCCCAAAATATCAGAAGGTACATCCAGATGCAAACCTATGTCCTTGAAAATTAGCTTGTAAACTTCCGGTCGAACACGTCGTTTATCAACTCCAACTCCAGTCGAGCATCAAGTTACTAATCGGACTGTAAACAACATCAGCGCACAGGAAATAAAAGGTCTTGGCCCGGATATGAGCTGGCTACACCAGAGTCCCAGAAATAAAGCCCTCGCACCCACAGGCTTATAGACCATAGCCGATGGGTTCCACGATTGATGACTATGGGACTTGTCAGTTTAGTTAACAATCCCTGGGTTGTAAAAAATAAACATCAAGTAGATAATCAATGTGAAAGAAAGATACTGCTCTGTTTGTTCCCCTTGTGGTTTAGATAGGCACTGGACTCACTGGGCTACTGTGAAGATAATCAGGGACAGCGTGTGATCTGAAAGTGTGTGTGCTGGTCACATTTCCAGCACAGTTGAACTTTCTGGGACACAAACTCTGTGTGAAAGATGGGTAGACAGGGGGAATTAAACTGCCAGACTTGTGTTTCTATGCTGGTTCCCACCATGTTCTTCATGATTTGGGTCCGGACTTTGAAATGTAAGACTAGCCCTGAACCAGACAGCACGATAATGAAACACAGTTTCTTGTATTTCTTCAAAGAAGATGTGGTTCTTTGTCCAACATCTATAAAGCGTCTCCACTCTTCTCTGATTTCTGTTTTATTTTTCATGTCCGCTTGATGCTCGGTGGATCTCTGCGGATGCTTTCCATCCTTCTTCTTCATCCATACATTTATGAAAACTGTGTATGAACTCACATTCATCTCAGTTGGGTTTCCTCACTTTGAGGTCATGTTTTATTTCCGCGAGAGTAAAAGCTCGTCTCCGCTGCTCACACACACACACACACACACACACACACACACACACACACACACACCTTTTCGTCAGCAGGTGTGTAAGTGGAGACTCGACGGACGACCTTCCCCGGGCCTCTCTGATCAATACGCCATGTGGCCTGGGCCCACTTCTCGCTCTTCACGTTCCCGGTGTTGTTATCCGTCCGGTTGCTGATGTTTTCAGACACCGGCACCTACCTGTCACCCCTCACTGCTGCTCCCCCAGCGTCACCGAGCACGCGCTGCATCTCCTGCCCGCGCGCGCTCTCTTTCTTGCTGTCAGTGAGCTGTTATTGAAATATTTAGCACCCACTCCAGCTCACAGGCGTGCACTGCCTTTCTTCTGCCTGGCTGCAAATACATTGGCCCGGCTGTAGACGTTGGAACTGTGCAGCGTGGAGGTGCTTCGAATGGGATTTGACCGTTAAGGATCTTTTTCTAGCGTTGGGCGGACGTGCAGCTGAGAGCGCGCTGCTCTCCGTGGAGCAGCGAGAGCATGCTGGTCCTGAACAAATGATGTCATTATTCTGTCCACTAGAGAAAAGACAGGAGAAATAAGTGTCATTACCAGCCAGCTGGTGATCAAAGTCGAACCATTTCCATCTGGTTTAAATCTTTTAGTGGCTGCTGATAGTGGCTTCAAATGGTAGTTCCTAACCCACAGATTCAGATCGATTCTCATCTCAGCGTGAGTGTTTCACTGGCGGCAGTGTAGATGTTTAGAAGTCACAAGGAAACGACATATTCAGTGGTGCTGAATGTTGCGAGGAGGAATTATTGAAAAAGGCGTAACGGTGGGGTTGGACCGTAACAAACACGCAGGGAGGAAGTCAGTGAAGCTCATCGCATATTCAGTGGAGCTGATGAAAGAATACAGACAAACCCTCGAGCTGTGACAAATTCTTCAAACTGAATAAATCTCATTCTCCCGGATTCATCAATAGTGTCCAAGGAAAAGAATCCTACTTTAGTTGCGTGAAAAAGTCACTTTTGTTTGTGGTTGGAGGGGATTGTTAAAGACTTTACTGTGATCGTTCTCAGGAAGTAAATAAAAAGGCATTTTGATTTTAAAATACAAGAAATATTGTACATGTTTTATCATTGTTAAATACTTTCCTGGTTGGGTTGACATCCAGGCATTTTTGGCATATTGTCGATCTATGCTACATCAGCACTGCTAGTACAGTATGCAGCGTTGAATACAGCCTGTGATATCTATCTTCTGGGTTTGGATTAGCAGTTGATCGACTCTTCAAACATGGAGAAGCATCAACAACCGTCCATGTTGGCCGGCTGACCGGCCCTGATGTCCAGATGGATACTTGATGCTTTCTTGGATTGACACTTGACTTGGCTGCGAGCTTCACGGTCAGACGGACACAAGTTTCACTGATAAAGTCTTCATTGTTTTCAAACGCAGAGTGGCTTTTTGAAATCTGGACATCGAGCAGAGCACAACGTCTGTGCGAGAGTTAGAATAATATTGGAACACGGCAAATTCTCTGTTATATGAAGTGCACGCTTATAAGTGGAGGGGGAAGAGAATAAGAATGATGCAATAATGTTGGACACGCCGTGGTAGATGGTTGACAAATAAAAACTGCTTCGTCATATATGACATCGAAGAACTCTAATTGCTCATTTTTGAACATATCTGGCGTCCCAGAAACCTTTGCACCATCGTAGCTTTCCATCAGTGCGATCGTGTCCCTTTCAGAAGCTTTGTAGCTTTTGTTGTCGTATCTTGTTTATTATTTATTGTATCTTATTTACTTATTTTATAAGTTGTATATATAAATCAAGTTACATTTTTATATTCACAAGATTTACAATTTAAACACTGAAATCCATCGGGGTAATAAAAAACATACATTTTACGCATTATTTGTATTGTCAGGTAACATTGGTTTCAAACAGGTGTAATGTGCAGGTTATTTAATCTTTCATTATCTCCGCCAGGTGTCTTGTGATCGGTCGTGAGTGTGAATGTCTGTGACTGAGTGAGTGTGCAGCTCTGTGCCTCTCAACGGCTAATCTCTGATTCTGCTGCAGCAAACTGCATCATATTTTGGGTGGCCAGTGATGGCCGCCTGCTCAAGGACGTCTCGCAGTTGCAGTTACTCACACCCTCTCAAAACACCTTTTATTACCTGTTTGATACTGCCATTGACTGCCTCTTACCCGGCCCCCGGCCGCTAGGGGCCGCAAGTGATGACACAGCTGAGGGCCTCACCGACCACCGGCTGCTACTCTACAGCCAGAAACACAACAGAGGGCCGGAAAAAATGTGCACTCTGTTATTGTTTCCGTCAGTGTGTTTGGCTAACGGAACTATCAGAGCTCACATTGCTGAGCCCCGCCGTCACTCAGCCGCTGCTAAGTGGGTAGACAGCTTTGTCAGTTCACTTTTTGTTTTGGCACAGTTGTACCGAGGTTCATTATGCGACAGCTTTAAGCCCATTGCCTGCATAATGTACAGAACAGCTTGTTTTTGAGTTTCAATAAAGTCAGTTTGACGACATTTTACAGCACCGGTTGTATTCTTTCAATCACACAATACATCCGTGGTCGTTGCAGACACAGCTGATGGAGATCTGCGCTCTGCTGTGTGCACCTTTCTAGTTGTAAATGTAATGAGTGGTGACATCCAGGCTCTCTGTGGGCAGGTGGCCACGTCATTGTAGTGAGAGAGATGCGTATTGTCACTGTTTTAAGGGGTGCTAATTAATCAAGCAGTATGTGTGTCGTTGAGCTACAGTTAAAAGCTGAAGATGATCATCACCGTGTTTATCTTCCATAAATCCAAATGACTTCCTCCCAATATCAGCAGGATAGCTTTTGCTACGTGATCCCGCTCATCCTGCTGCGGGTGAACAAGGCCGCACATTTCTCTTCACGCAATGTTTGTTTGCTTTCTCACTGAGTGACTCGCTTCCTTGCTTACTCAGGAGACGCATGCGTTCACATTTACACTCACAAGGGAACGAGTGCACAGCAGAGGAAGCCAGGACTAATCAGGCCGGCTGTCCCAAGTCGTGGGACAGTAAATGGGATCTGCTGCCACTGCAGTGTTCCTCTGATCAAACATTCAACAGCACCATGTTACGATGGTGAGCCTCTGACACACAAACACACACTCACACACACACAGTTAACAAAAAAGTTATCAGATGCGTAATAAAAAGAAGTCTAGCTGCACTTCATAGCTGTAGTTGTGGGTGAACAGTATGACTTGGGTTGTCTTGTTTATAGGAAGGCATCACTGGTTTGACGTTCCCTGCGGCCACATAATAAAGAGCTGCGTTAGGAAGTGGGTGTTGGGTGAGAATCTCTGCGAGAGGACGATTGTTGAAGCTAATTTAGTGGAAAACATATGGGAGCAACTAGCTGCACCACAGTCTGACTGAGGGAAATACTGAAGGCATGAAGTGATGTTAAAGCACAAAATCATTTCCGACTGTGACGCATATAGAGATGGAACTTCAGGAAACATCTCCAGAGTATAGCGTTTAATGTATATTTTTTTTACTTATTTTCTTCATTTATATAGTTTATGCATTATTGGGCAGCATCTGTTATGTTAACGTCTTTGTAAACAGGATTATTTACACATCCATCAGACACAATACATCAGAGTCATGTTTCTGACCACCTGACATTATTCACTCTCCTTATAGCCCGAGTTTGCTTTCCACCAACTCCTGAGAAAATGGCTCATAGCTCTAATCTATGTTCACAAGCTGCTAAAGGTCTGTCTGACGTCTTGCTGCAAACATTATATTATATTACCCAGTTAAATGGACTTGGACTATATTTGGAAAGCGACGTGTATTTAATAAGTAGAGTGACGGGGGGAAGATGCCTCGGCAGGCTTAATGCTTTGAGTCCACATCAGCTGTTTTTCCATATAATTTTATTTCCAAAAAAAGTCAGAGAAAAGTAAGACAAGCCAGTCAAGTACAACGAAACAAATCCCCCATTGGGAAGAAAATAAAAAATAAAAGCTGATAAAGACAGAAGGCCTGATGATATATACAACAGCAGACATCTTTTTGGTGTTGCAGTACCAGCGAATCACTCGACACACTCGTGGAATTCTTCACACGAGATCAAAAGAAATAACTCAATGAAATTGTTGTTTTTCTTTTGATGGACAGAGAAGGTTCTAAAAGTCAGCTAAGGCACACAGAGCCTCCCCAGAACAAAAGAATGGGGGAAACGTCAGTTCAGAGAAATTTGTGCAACAGTTGCTCAACAATACATTCCAGCAAGAACAACAACAATCTGGCATGTTATCTTCTCTGAGAGGCAAATAGGACACGGTGGCGGTCACAGATGTCCAAAAACACTGAACCAGGTTATGTACTTTGATCAATAAACACCATCAATCCACTCTCTGTGCCCAGTTATTGACACCTCAAAAACTCGTAATAATTCAAAGTCATTTCACCACATCTGTATTTACATGTACAATACCTTTGAAACAATATTTCAATACAAAATACCTATGTACATCTTCTTCATTTGTTAATCATTTTGTTACAAAATAGGACTTCCACATCGAGTTACATTTATTTAATTCACCTTTTTCCAAAACCGTGGTTGAGCTTTACATAATAATATGTATCGTGTGAAGTATTGTTGTGAGCGCGGCGGCGCTATAAGTTAAAAGGTGGCAGCAGAAGCCGGCCAGTGAACACAACTAAATGGTCCTTTACAAGCCAACCCAGGAACAGTGTAGATGTGAGAGGGAAGGACGCCTCTGACAGCGGGGCGAGGTGAACTCCACATTAATGAACATTATTGTCTCTTAATCAGCTCGTGCAGAAACACTCACTTAGCTCGTGTGGCGGCTTAAACAATGCCGACAGCCACAGACTGAACTCCTTATTGGCTCCACATGAAACTTATCTCGGATTAAAACAAATATCTGAGCGTAGCTCTTGTTCAGGACGTGTTGTGGTACACAGCTGCTCTCAGTTAACTTCTCTCAAATATCCAGAGATTGTCTTGATGGCAGAAAAGGTACTTTAATTAAATGTTGATCTAATAAATTATGCATTTTGCAATCGAGACACAATATAATATTCACGTGAAATTGTACATTATTGATCACTAACACTCACTATCATTCTGAAACTGACAGGAATCACACAACACCAACGAGCACAGCTTCTCCTTCCGTCCAGAAGTTGTCCGATGCGGTCGGTCGTGAAGAGCGTTTTTGTTCCCCTTCGCCGTTTGGTGAGGTTGTTAGGTATAGCTGACCTCTGACCTCACAGGCCAGGGTGACGCTCTCTCGTGAAGCACTTGGCAAACAGCCATTTAGGAAACCAAGACAAGAAGATCTATTCAGACGGGACAACACTGACTAACACACAGGTGCGGGCCATAGAAAGGTACAGTATAGGTTTGGGCTGTTGGCCTTTGTAAATAAAGGCAGCTTTCTTTACAAAAAAAATATTTATCATGCTGCCAAGGCAGCGTCGCACTTATTTAGTCACTGACTAAAAATATCAGTATTAATATAAACGTATAAATAAATAGCGACTCATGGACTCACCCCTCCTCCTCACTCACACACTTGTTGAGACTTCTTGTATAATCATGTAAAACATGAAGTGTGAAATGATTGGAACAAAGTAAAAGACTGAAAACATGGACGAGAATGTTGCGGTCAGCTCGAGATAATTGTGTTCCAAGTTTGAGGCAGGTTGGTAAGAAAACCCGAGACGTCCTCTGCCGGTCGCAACATCTGGGTTTTATTAAAATAAACCTAAACTATGTGAATGTTAAGTCTTAAAATACTTTTGTACAACAGCCACAAATGAAGCATTTAGCAATTCAGAACACTAAAATGTCTATTATAATCCAAATAGGTGTCATTATTTTTGAAAAGGCCTCAGTCAGTATTTGCGTTTCTCTTTTTCTATATTTGCGAAACGTGACTGCAGCAGATGTTTAGCTCGGCCACAACAGCTCCACATCAGGCTTACTGATGTTTTCTACTGGTTGACAAACTGAGTCACTGAGCTATCATCAGAGTTTTGAAGAAATTGGCTTTTATGCTGCTAAAATATTTGTTATTCAAAGTTTCTTTTAATGGAGCTGCATTTGAGTCGTATCAAAATAATCTTTTTCGAATGTTTGGCATATCTGAGCACTCAGATATCATCTCATGTTGTTTATGTTGATATAGACATTTAGTTCGGTCCCAGGCCACCTCCTCGTGTAGGTCTTACAGCTAAGGCTTTGTCTGCTACCAGTGTCACATGACCGCTGGGCCCCGTGCAGGGCTCTGAAAGCTGACTTCATATTTCATCCAGCAGCAAAATAAATGCTCGAAAATTGCAACGTTTGATCACAGCAAAACTCAGCCATGAGAAGAAAAATAAATACACTGAGAAACTGAAATAGCAAAGCCAGCATAATCCCCTGAAAGGAGGAATCCCGTGGGAGGATCTAAAAATCGCTCTCCTCGCTTTCTGTCCAGACACCCTCACCAACCTCCCCGAAAAATCCACTTCTTTTGTTTTCTTCTTCCCCCGAGACGGAGGAAGAACGCTTTTCCTTACTCCACCCGCAGCAGATGCCTTAAATAAATACAAATCAACAGTGAATCTCCTGCGCTGTGGCCTCCCGTCCAGCTGGAGGCCTCGCTGCTACCTGATGCGCCCGTCTGCGCGCGGTGTTCCCAGGTGGGATTTTGGGTCTGGGCTCAGGGAGCTCCAAGGGTTCTTGGGGCAGGCCTGCATGACGGGGCAGGCGGTAGGGCCAACGGCGCAGACGTCGGCCGCCTCCCACAACTCGCCCACCAGGCTGTCTAACCAACGCTCGAGCTCCGGGCCGGTCAGGGCCGCGTTCCTCTTGGCCTGCTCCACATACCCCGGGCTGACAGGGATGTTGAGCACTGGGTTGAGGCCGTGGAAACTCTGCTCCATGTAGCTGTTCTTTGCTGGCCCGTTGTGGTGCTTCAGAGTATCCTCTGGAGAGACGTGGGAAGGAAGAAAGAGAGAACAGAGAAGGAGATAGAAGATGTGTGAAGAGTTGATAATTAGTGGTCAGATGGAGAGAGATGGGATTGTGGGGAAGGGAGGGGGAGAAAAGGCAAAAGGGAGACTTGAATTGTAAAATATCAAAGCAGAGAGCGTGATTCATTTTATGATCATCTGAAAAGCTTAAACTGCTAATTTACTTGGATTGATTTTTATGACTGGAGTACTTAAATCCCATTGTTTGATGTGGTATGTCACGCCACTGCAATGCTGACTTTATGGAAACGGTCAGACGCGCCCTGATTCTTTCTTCCTGCGACGGTCAAGCCCGGCAGGATGACAGAAATCGTAGACACAACTTCACCTCAGAACACTTTCTCCACCCTGAGTGCCACCGAAGCTGTAAATTCCTCACTGGTACTCTAACTGGGGCCAGAGCCATCCTTTCTAAGCACGGCTGAGCAGACATCAGTGCTTCTCATGCACTGGTGAAAAGAAAAGATGCAGTCAGACATCAGGCGCTCCACCACAAGGCAAGGCAATGTCCGTACCATGCCAGCTAGCTTTGTGTATAAAAACGTGTGTGTGTGCGTGTGTGTGTGTGTGTGCGTGTGTGTGCGTGTGTGCGTGTGTGTGCGTGTGTGTGTGTGTGTGCTGCTGCCAATGCTGGTAGAAGGCCACGTCATAAAGTTTTACTGGCACTGCATGTAGGTGGGAAACCTGGTGCCAGACATGACAGTAAATTAAAGGCGGGTGGATGAAACAGCTAAGACGAAAGCACACATTACAGCACACACTGAGCCGAGCATACACAAGATTATTACACGGTGACTATAATCTCCACTCTATAGAGCTTATTATGTATCCTTATACTGTACAATATGAGAAATATAGGTTTATGATAAATGTCTGCCTTTTCCTACGGTGTGTAAACTCAATGAGTAGAGCCAGCACCCATAGATATGATTGGAGTTTGCTACTTTTGTGATAAACAAGCCAGTTGTATATCTGTTAAATGCTAAAATGTATTGTATCAGTAGAACATAGGGATGTCAGTTATACATCGATATCTATCTAAAGTTACTTAACATGAAGCCATTGATCAGACCGGACAGGAATACTCCTGAGTGTGCTGGATGAATAAGGGAGCATTTTATTACGCTTGAATTAGTTTTTCATTAGCAAGAGTGAGACTGTGTTACTTCTAGATTCATGAGACTTACTCTGCAATCACCGGAGTCAAACAGGCCAAACTATATTTATTTTACTATGATCAGCTAAGAAACACAAAATATAGCTTTTTATATAGAAAGAAAGGTTAGACCTCTAATGTCAATACACTCAGCTGGCCGACAAATATTAAGAACACTCAATAACCAGGAGACCTCGTTAAACTATTTACATAATGTGGTCTAACACGGCAGCCAGGGGTGGGAGTAGGTGGTAAGTACATCATTTACACACACTTTTGAGGCACTTGTACTTTCCATTTGATGTTATTTTAGACCCCTGATGCTGTACATGGTATGATTGTACTTTTTACTCCACTCCGTGTATGATGACTGGAGCTACTTGTTCATTTTCACAAAGAAAACATCATCGAATATGACTTATTGCTCTCCAGGAGACACTGTGAAAAGTATTTAATATCAGCCTCCTCTACCAGTTAAGGGTTAAATAATACTCATCATTATTACACTGCTTTGTTTACTGACCACAGCGAGAGGAATATTTGTTTTGAGCGGATCATTAAAATCATTTTTAAATCAATGTGTGTCAAATTATTGATCCCTTTAGAAAGTAGCAACATATACAGTATCATATGATCACATTTTGAAATGAGACATAAGCATAATGAGCAATAAGGTTAGCTGATAATACTTATACACCTTTACTTTATAACTGAGCTATAAAGCCACAGCATTATAACCCTACACAGAGATTATTAACCAGAGTGTTGACTCACACTGTCAACAGCAGACCCCCCCCCCCCCCCCCCCCCCCCATGCCCCGCTGAGACTCAGGTCGAAGACAAAAGCTGTTTCTCTATTTGTTGCTTTTCTTCATCATTAACCGGCTCAGTGAGATTATTAAACAGAGAAAGACACCATTATGCCAAAGCTTGCGTCTCAACTCTCTCTTGGGGTTTTAGAGGAAACTGGCTGCTTACGGACTACGACGACGCAGTCTGGCCCCTTGTCCATGCTGGCTGATTGATTTAATTGTGTCATTGTTTTTTGGGGGGCTGAGTGCACCGTTGTTTAACGTTCTGTGTACTGTGTATGAGCAGCTCGCTAGGTTAGACTTGATAACAAACAACCAAGGTCTGCAGAGACCCAGAGGCTTGATTAGGAAGGGCATCGCTGCAAATGCAAGGCTCTGTCTGGGAGTGTGTGTGTGTGTGTGTGTGCGTGTGTGCGTGTGTGTGTGGCTGCAGACATTCGTTACTTCACAGTAAATGAAAAGTCACTCTTTGAAACTGTGCTGGTGTCGACTGAAAAGAAAATTCTGAAAATGTCTGTCAAACATAACCACTGTGTGTATTCAATACATTCTGTGTATGAAACGCTGATCTGTTGTAGGAGTTCTCAGCCCGCCCATCATATAACATTACAGGTACTAGTTAGCATGTAGTGAACTCCACTATGCAATAACTTCCTTTGTACGGCTCATCCTGCTGTCACACTGTTGTGGATTGAACTCAGACTATTTGTGAAGTAACTAAATGGTGAATGGACTATACTTGTAGCGCTTTTGTACACTTCCAACCACTCAAAGCGCTTTAACACTACATGTGTTGCCCGAGGACACATGGACATGGACTAGTGGAGCCGGGGATCAAACTGCTGATCCTCTGATTGAAGGACGACCCGCTCCACCACTGAGCCACATATATTATATTAGATAAACTCCATTACAAGAAATGTGTAAGTACGTTTTTTTTGATGATCTGTTGAGGAACAGCACAGCACTGCAATAAGTCGAGCAAGACTATTTGTACAAATGACACAATCAATAGTAATTTAGTGTGATGAAAGCTGAAACAAATGGCGAGTGCTAGTTACAAACAAGCGTCACGAGAGGCTGTTTGAATCTCTCACCTTGTCGTATGGGCTGGTGCTTGTTATAGGCCAACGGGGCAATAAGGAAGTGCATCTCAGCCACGGGGCTCCAGTGGTGCAGGATGCGGACGCTCCATACGCCGGGCCGCAGAGGCTGGTTGAGCGGCGGGCGGTAGTGGGTGAACTCGGCGCTGGCGTCGATCAGAATGTCATAGGTGGCCGCGATGACGTTGGTGGGGTCGATCCACACGACAGTGACGGTGACGTTAGGGCCCTTGTTCCACTTCTGCATGCCCACCGTCTCCTCCATGGGGCCCATCAGGCCGCCGAAGTTTCTGAACAAACGTTCTTTGGCGTCCCACTCGGTACCGATCTGCCGGCGTGAAAAGGAGCAAAAAGGGAAATGAGACGGAGAGAAAACAGGAAGACAAGAGTGAGTGACAGAATGAGGTAAGAAAAAAGACAAGGAGAGGAGCAACAGCAAAAAGTGCCAGAGAGGAGGGTCCATACATTCACTGTTGCTGCTGCATGTGCAGTAATGCCAAGTGAACATTAATAAGTAACATCCTCTGTGCATGCATCACCTGTTAAATAATCTGCACCATGCATATTGTCATCAAACAGCAGCACACTCCACCAACCCTCCACACAGCTGTTACATAATGTTATAATGCGCAGAAGCTGACAAGCCTGATTGTTTCATCCTGCACGTGTGAGTCCATTTGTCCACAGTCGCTGGTACTGAACGTCTGAGTGGAACTTTCTATGCCTGAGTGGATCTTTGACATGAACATGAGAGGCTGCGGGAGGCATTTGACTAGACCCCAGCCATATCCCCTCGGGGTGAAGATCAAATGCATGCCTGTTTGCACTCTGAACACATTTTAGAGAGATAGAAAGAGAGAAGAAAGGCAATGAACAGCAGGGTCTGGTGTGAGCAGCATTTGTCCTTAAAGTAAACTGTAGCGTGGAGGATTGCAACCAGACAGAGGAGGACACTGTACACACTGATATTATATGCAGACTCAGCCTTTTGACAGAAAGAAAGGTGTCTAGGGAGCAAACGTCTGTATAAGTAAGGTTCTAGTGCTACAACAGAGACAGAGAATGCTGCATTCTCTCTGACAATTTTGAGATAAATGAACTCAATATAAAAATGTGAGCGATAATACCAAAGTCAAATATATCTCTGGTGAATCATGAGACACAGTGCCTCTGGCTGCAGAACACGGAAATAGCTGCCAGCCTGCCGCACGCTGGAGGACTGCCAGTGAAACATCGAGCCAATTTAAGATTATGTCCAGCAAGCTTACATAATTAACATTTAGCTTACACTACTACATTTGTTTGAATGAACTTTGAATTGAGATTTATAGGTCATGTCTTTTGAACTCATGATTTGACAACAGAGGACTTGATTCTGTCTACAAAGAGTCTCAAAATGAAATGAAATAAAGCAAAAAGAAAGACAAACAGGATGAATACATAAGTACAGCTAATTGCGTTTATTGTCTTCATTGTGGTCAAGACTGTAACTGAAGAGGCGTGATCTGGGTGTTGGATTGCAAAACCGCGCAATATGCAAAATGAGACACATCGAGCGATCGAGATTGATGGCGGAGATGAGGTGAGAGCGAGGGAGGTAACACACACACACACACACACACACACACACACAGTGAAAGATGTCTGGGGTGTTGGCAGGAATGTGAGAGGGATAGCGGCTTTAGGAAGCGCTCATCCTTACAATAGTAGCTGATTAACACAGCCTCACCCTGCTGGACGATCAATGGCCGACTGGAACTGACTCATCTCATCATCATCCTTTGAGAATTGAGATTGCGATGTTCAGTATACGTAAATAGACATAACACGGATAAATTAGACAGTGAGTGTGTGTGTGTGTGTATGTTGGCCATCTGTAAAAGACACCTTACTTTCATCTCAATTATTGGACCGACCTCTGCCATTTTTGCCCTTTGGACCTTGGTTCTTTTCTCTTTAAATTACTAATCAACTCTCTTGTCTGGCACCTCTGTAGCTCATTACTTTACACAAGGTTGACTCGCTGACACACACTGGATCCCCGATTGATCGGTAGCACTCTGGTCCCGAGCTCAGAAAGAAATGAAGGAAGTATTGACGGAGGAATCTCACTATAATCCACTGGGAGCAAAGCCTGCAGGAGGCCCACTAAAGGTAAGAGTTGTGAGAGGAAGATTTAGACATATATAAATATTCACATGCTGTTGGGAGGAGAGGAAGCCTCGCTTCTGGTTCTTGCCCAAAGTTTATTTAGTGACAAACATCAGCTAAGTGCAACATAATTATGCACAGCTGGTGCAGCAGGTCAAGTTCTACTTTCTGGAGAATTTTAAGGGCAGATGAGAGGCTTTTCACTCTCTGCATGTACACACAACATTAGCTCAACCCCTACCCTAGTTACCTATAAATAATGGGCAGAAGAAGGAACTTCCTACTAAACAAAGTGTAACATACAAATACTCTGTACTGCATTGACCTATTGTATTTCTATGCCAGGAGCTTGAGGTCCTCATGCCCACGCAGATGCACAGCTTTGTTTTCACATCAGCTAAAAGTATGTAGAGACTACATTCACAGAGCGCATCGCTTTGAACGTTGCAATTACTTTCTGTGTCTAAGGTATCACTCTCTCGGTGATTAAACTGAAGGAATATCTGCATGTTATCAATGAAGCCGCCAGCAGCAGGAAATCCTTTCTTCCAGTATGACAGGAGGTCAAACAGGGGTTGACTTGTGGCCCATTTCAGTTAGGATGACCTCCACACTCAAGCTGTCCCTCGCCTCTTCTAACCAATGAGCTTTGGCTTTAGGTCAACACCCAACCAAGCCTCATGATCGTTCAGCAGGTTGGAGGCTGACCTTCTCTCGCTTATAGCTGCACCCGATTTCAGCAGATTTGACGCACGGTTTCTCGTCTTCTGACAAACGGAAAGAGGAACTCTTCATCTGATAATGGCCCATAGATTATACATTTAACTTTTCTCCACATGTGCCTCATCAATTCTGTCGATTACCCGCATTACTTATTTCATGCTCTGCTAAATTCCCTCCCTGATTTAATAGAAAACATAAAATGCTCCCATCTCATAATCCACCTCTTTTCCATTTCTTCCTTCTGACCCGGCAACCCTGAAAACCTTTCCCCTCTGCTGCCGCCTTGCTGGCGCCTACACCTCAAATAAATAAGACAGGTCAATTTAATCAGGCAGGGGTACGGACAGTCACCGTCTACATCTGGCCCTGCTGAAAACCACAGGGCACCGATCCCCCTCGAGGCCTTATTCAGAAGGTTATTAGTGGCACTTTTAGTGAGGGTAATCAAACACAGGTGCTCGCCAGCAGCACCAGAGGACTCTCCTGGGACACGTTTACACTGAGGGACTGTGGGCAAGATGGCTGGAAGCTTGCAAATAAGGACACACTGTGGAGCAATGAGGGATGAGGAGAGGAAGGAAGAGTGCAACACAGAGAACGGGACATTTTCTGTGATGCATCAAAACTGACTTAAATAAATAGTTTGACATTTTGGGAAGTGTGGTTACTCGCTTTCATGCAGAGAGTTAGATGAGAAGATCGATATCACCATGCTGTCTGGTACAGTGTGAAGCAGCAGAACTGCCAGCAGCTGGTTAGCTTAGCTTAGCATAAAGACTGGAAACATGGGGAAACAGCTAGCATGGCCTATAGGCTCAGAAATGATATTCCGAGCAACAACTTTCTTCTTGCAGATGAGACAGGAAGCAGTCACTTTTAATTCCACACCCAGGAAATAAAACAATATGAATGATTGTCCACTTCTCCTCAAACTGTGTGTGCTCCTGGTAAACCTCTCTTTTAGGCTTAAAAGGAAACATTTGGGTGTCAGATGATAAAACTGTATGGTGAGGCTCAGTTAGTAAATTAAATAATCACTCTTTAATGAAAGACTTTGGGATTATTTTATGTACATGTTTGTGTACATTCCACTCAAAAGGTGGACAAAATGACAGGAACACTTAGCAACATCCAGTACACTAGTGTTGCACCTTTTTGAAGCTCACAATGTAAATATTCACCGTGTCAGACATCCCACTCCTTCCTAATTTTCGAGGCTGTAGGTTGTTCATAGTGTGTTGCCTCCTCTATCACAATATGTACGTGTGTATACACTGTAATGGAACAAGGACAAAGCCATCAGTCAAAGTCAGTCAGTCTGCTGTAAAAGATTTGTCCAACAAAGAGATTAATACACCTCTATATGTCAGTCTGACTTGAGGTGAAATACTAATTTTAACTGTGTGGGCTGTAAGTGGTCCTCCACTAAATCATGCTGTAAAAAGGCCTATAAAGGCAGCTGGCAGGCGGCAGCAGAGGAGTGAAGAGAAAGACGTATCTGTCCTCCTTTATATCTAAAGGAGGACAGGGAACACATTGTTAAGCCAACCATATGGTTTATGTAGCAAACTCCAGCGTATAGCTGTACTATAATGGGTCATATCTGCTAAGTTGACAAAAAGCGCAGTTACTGCCGCTGCTGTCTTATTCGAGCTCTTTCTGTTCGTGTTTTGAATGACAGATTGACAAACTGACTGACTGGCAGCCGCTGCACGGTGCCCGACAGTGAATGCTTCTCTCAGGCTGAGCAACCAGATAACAGCCACAGCCCACATCGCCGGTCTGTCACTCACGGTTTCATAGGCTAGACACATATACAGGGCTCAGTGAGAGGGGCCCCCGCGTGGCGACTGGCTGTCTGGATCCCTCTGAGGTCCCGTTGGGCCCGCTGGCAGAGGTAGATCAGGGTCACGGTGTGTGCAGGTGTACAATTATGATTCACAAGCACAAACAAATTCAGTCACAAGTTTGTTGGCATTTCTGGCTCCTACAAAACTGCGAGCGCGATAAACCAAAGAAAAAGGTCAATTTACATTCACTCAGTTCATTTTGTCCCTTTTTTAAAAAGGCACACTGCTGCCGTCACATCACAGCCGAGCTGCCGTGTCCCAAACAGGCGTTTTGGTAAACAGAAACACGGATTAACATAACAAGACAATCAGGGGAAGCGTTCCAGTGTGAAGGTGAGAAGACGTTCTATTAGGAAACAACAAATAAACAGCACATGAAGCGCTCATCCCTATAAACTTGGATGAATTCAATCAATTTACATTTTACAAGGCCATTACAGGCACCACTTTAATTGTGCCGGGGATGCGCCGCTATGAGTCTTGGCAAGGTCGTCATAGCAATGATTATAAGGCCACCGTGGCAATGAGCTGTACGTCTCGTCTCTAATTATACACTGAAGAGCCGTGTGTGTGTGTGTGTTTCCTACGCGGTGCTCAGGGTTTTAATAGAACTCATTTCCTGACATCGGCAATGGACAACCGACTGGTTTGTGACTCACGCCAAACGAATGACTTCAGTGTAAATGAATAAAACAAATGCTCCGAATGCCGACATAATGACTCACCTCCGAGAACTGCAACCTGCTGAATGTGCTGCTGAGAGGGGCGGTGAGCCTGAAGTTCTTCTTGGGTGCCACCCAGGTCTCCATGGTTTCCAGCTTGCTAGTTGCCAGGTTGGTGGCATGGTGCTTCACAAGGTAGCCCTGGAAATGGTCCGACTGGAAGTAGAGATGTACCGACACCGGGTGGCCCATGGGGAAGTACCTGGCACAACGCAGAGAGAGCAAGGATCCATAAGCACACCTGATACATGCTGACTTACCTGCTGTGCTGCTTTTCAGTGCCAAAGGTGTCAGAGGAGCAGAATATCTGGTTTCATCTGGACAACGTCTGGAGGGAGCCGGCCTCGGACATGTTAATGTGGCTGGACGCTAATGTACCTCGCAGTGAAGATGAGTGGGGAGTCAATGTGCTCTGTGATTGTGTGACATGGTGGACATTAATTCAATGACCTTCAACAGGAAACTAATTAGTCAAAGAATGCTGATAATTCTTATTGAGCATGTTTTTGTTGGTTACATAAATGACGGTCCCATTTAGAGTGAAATAGACAGTAAAGCAGGGTATGCTTTAGGGTGTGCAACCTTGCGATTAAAAGGTCTAGTAACAGTGTTGTCTAGTCTGGGAGTCGTTGTGTTTTTGTCTTAAAACTTGAACCCTTTCACAGTGAGTTTTCAAGTTAATTGTAACCTTTTCGGTCACCTAAAATGTCTTATTCAGCGTTCGGTTGTACTTAGCGCCAACCTCTCGTGTCAGCTCTGTTGCAACAGCCAAAAAACCAAGATGGCGAAAACCGTAGCCCACAAACCAATGGATGAGGTTACAGTGACTGCTTCCACTTCTTATGTACGCTCTATGACTAGTAGAGATAAGTAATAGACGAGTGAAAAGTTTATTAAGGCCCAGGTATGTAAAGAACAAACTTCTTCTCCTGTGCTCATTTTTGCTATGCTGTGTGCTGCGTGCTTCAACATGTGCTCTGGCTCTGAAGTGGAAATGATGATTAAAGAAGACATCAGTTGAGACCACAGCGGCCTGCTATAGAACATTACAGAACAGTCATGGGCTGTATTGGCAGCAGACTCAGATTAGTCAGAGTTCTGAAAACACAGACAATCCAACTGAACACATTACAAGTCTGCGGAAACAAAGTTGAACTGGGTCAATCCAGTCAACTGAAGCCGAATGAAGGTCTTGCCCTTCTGATTAGTCTGTTGTTTGTTTGCGTGTCGCTTCGTACGTGGCAGAGGGTCGGCCCTCGGGGCAGATAGCCCGAGTGACTTCTGGAGAAACAAAAAAGGGGCCGGGGTGCGCACTGCTGGAGAACACTCTGCAGCTGCTCTCTGCGCACGTCCTGACTCCTTCACGCCCAGATTTCTCATCCTTCGCTTCTTCTGCTTCCTTGAATTCGTCTTTATTCTCCCTCTTTTGCACACACACACACACACACACACACACACACACACACACACTGTCCCTCCGTGCTCCCCAGTGCCCACGGCCTCATCAGTATTCCACTAAAGGACCAGGAGTCAACCCGTCCTGGTAAATGCTACCCTGACAAGCAGAACAGCAAATATTTACACCCACAAGGATCGCAGAGCACACTCCCTCCCCTCCTGCTCCCTTTCCCTCTGTCTATCTCCCTTTCCCTCTTTGCTCCTCTCCTCTCTTATCCTTCTTTCTGCCCCCCCGTCTTTCCCAAAAGAGACGTGGTTGACAGTGTTAGAGGCAGTGAGAAGGGGTCGGGGCGTAGCCTGCACAGAAGCTCCATTCAGGCTTTTAGCCCACAGCCTCTCCAATCGAGTCACAGCGGGCTGCTAAAAGAGACAAATCCCTCTCTAAGGTCTTTTCCTCCTCCTTGCTCCAGCCTCACACGGAGGCTGACCCATCTATCTGTCGGTAGCACATTTGAATTCTATATGCATGCAAAGTATGTGGCCACACACGTGCTATATGTGGATGTACTTGAGGCCTCAGTGTCAGGATCCCTGTCAGACCAGACACCTCCCATGGCCACGCAGCTGCAGCCACTCCAGCCGATTACCTCCTGCAGGCTGACACACCAGACTCAGGTCCCACTAACGCTTCCCCTGGCACTATATAAACTCTGGTCCTGCAGTCTGGGGTTGTCAGGTCGTACCGTCTTTCACCCGCTTCAACCCCGTTGCATCTTCGGCCTCGAGCGCCTGCCTCTGGTGTCCGTCGGTCCGGGAATCCCCCGTGCCCTCCTTTGTGTTTACGGACAACTCACCACCGCTCTGCCCTCCGTTGTGTTAACGGACTACTCACGCCGTCAAGCTGCCAGCTCTCCGGTGTCGAGCCACGAGACTCACACTGTCGATCTGCCTACCCTCTGGTGTCGGACCACGGGACATCACGCCGTCAAGCTGCCAGCCCTCCGGTGTCGAGCCACGAGACTCGCACTGTCGATCTGCCTACTCTCTGGTGTCGGACCACGGGCTCCACACCCTCCTGTCATCTGTACTCTGGCTAAATAAAGTCTGTTTCACCGTACTGTCTCCTGTGGTCTTGCGTTTTGTGTCCTACCCGTGAACTCCCGTGACACTCAGACCAGGCCACATGTTGCCCAAGTGAGGACTAATCTGCTGTCACTTAGTTTGGACTTCAAAGCAGACTTTGATTGGAATTACCTGACTTGATCAGTACAATTCAACATCAGACAGGCCTTGTGTGGCCATGACCCACAAACACACGCATTGTATTTAACTATTAGGTCTATGAACCAGAGTGTGGCTGAATTAATTTTTCTCCTTTTTGTTCAGCTTGATCTTCATTGCAGCTGTGACTCAGTGTAGCTCATATTAGTGAGTTCCAGATTTCTGCTCATACTTCATAATCTAGTATCATTCACTTATCTTGCAAAACATTGAGGATTATTAGCAATGCCTTTTGCCAAGCATTATGATAATAGTGCATTGTTCATGGCCTCCACCAAGTAATGGCTGCAGTGATTCATTTATTACAGATTGCGTCATAGACCAAGCAGGCTGTCTGACACTGTTCAATGATCACATCCTGCTGTAGAAGCCTTTAACAATGTGCACTACAGTATTATAAGACAGCATAAGTAACGCATAGCATGGCTATGTTGAGTGAGCCCCAGTTTCTGCCTCTAATGTATCACCATCACATTCAAGTCACAGAGCATCGGACTTTCAGAAAAACAAATATCAAGCAAAGTTTGAAAAAAGTCTAACGACACTCACTGGGGCTGAATCCTCAAAGACTCTTTTTCAACCTGTTCCTTAAGTTACGATTGTATTTCCTCATCCAGACAGCCAGAGATGACATGTGTCTTTGCTCTTTTTGTAAAACACGAGCAAAATATAAATTGGAACAGAAGCATGAAAGGATACCGTTGGTATTGTTCACCCTGGACCCCGTTCTTAACCAAAACAAAAACGTAAATCGTTTTTCTTTACCTTTCGCTTTCTGTTTGTTATTGTGTCATCAGACAACTGTGGAAACATGAATACATAAATGAGATGAATAACAAACAGACGAGATCAAGCGATGAGGACGAAGGTTGTCTTTCTCTGTTCGGTCCTCTCCATCATGCTGTCAGACACTTATAAGAACAACAGCAGCCTGTCGGTGGCAAAAACCAGCGCTTTTAGTGAAAGTAGCTCGTTGCTGAGGAGTTTCCTCGCAGCCTGTTTAGCTGCTGGCGTCGACAGCGTTCTCGTTCAACACTGGACCAATTTCAAAATTGACATAAAAACACAAGACAATAGCTGGAAACACCAAAGTTTCCCTTTTATATTTAAAACTGCTGATAATAATTTTGATTTACAAACTGAGAAGAGATTGCGACTTCAGGAACGGGTTAAAAATCGTTTTTTTAAACCCGATTTTTATTTTTTGAAGCCAGACGGTTGCAGGTTACTTTAAATAAACAACATTTTTTATAGTCCTGCTGTGCTGTTGATCATCTCAGGAAAATGTGCACATACCACCTAAAACATTCTTTTTATTATGAACCCAACATCTCATCTGTGTTCAATTAGCTCCATCGCAAATAAAATGCAAGAATGTGGAGTCAGCGATGTAAAAACACCATTAAAACTGCTGAATCTCTGACACCTCAAAGACCTCATTCTGCATCTGAGGACTTGAGACTGAACCCAAAAGTCTTAATGTGATGAGTGAAACTTCAATCTATGTGCATTTACTTAATATATGTACACACGGATGCACTATCTTGAGACAGTATACACAGTACACACTACCATACACACTTAAAAACTTGCAACGACACCCACACACATAAGGTACTTTGTTTGGAAGCAACACATTCACATGCATACACATACACATCAACAGCATCACTCTTGAGTTGCTTGCATAAACACTCACACACATACAAAACTACACACAAGCACACACACACACGTAGACATTTACATACGTTTTCTCTATTTCCTGCCTTTTGACCTCTGGCCTCTCAGCTATCTTAAAGTGTTGTTACGTGTAAATGTTTAGGACCGGGGTTTGCTTGTTTGCCTTTAGGAAATATCCCAGCACGCAAACCCTCTCGGCTGATACGAGGCGATCGCTGTTGTGTTGCCTCCCAGATTTACTCTACAACAGCAAGTGAAGCTGCACTCGAATACGCTGTCAGTCAGTTTACCCGACGACTTGTGAAACTTCCCGGAGTAGAACGTGAATAGAATATGAATCGGCAGCCTGGCTGACTACCAACAAAAAGTACAGCAGATCCGATCACAGCGTGTATCGATACACGTTCCTTCATGCTGTGCTCGGTATGTTTTACATGATCCTGTCTCGTGTGGGGGAAAGTCATCTTAATGTTTATTGATGTCATTAAGATGAGCATAAAGATGTCATCTTGATGTTTGTGCTATTGTAGGTGTCGTGTTAGTTGTTTTATCTTTTGTTTCATGGTAGGATGCCTTCTTTATGAGATACACGGGGCTTTCTGTCACATGAACACAAATTGGCCTTTGTTCCAAATCAGAATATCAAATTCGTCAGTTTTATTCACTTTGTGTCAGGGTTTCATTGCTGTGCAAATAAACTAAAGGAAAGCTAAACTGCTCCTCAGATGCTACTGAAAACAAGCTGTTGAAACCCCGTACTGAGGGACACGAGGCCTAAATGTTCCATTTGGCTATTAAATATAAAACATAGCGTGGTTTCCCTTTTCACTTTAACTACACACTGTATGTTAACATACATTTCCACTCATAATAAACCGGCCTGAAGGGACAGCTTTCAATGCTTTGACCCATGCAGCCTCATTATCTCTGGGATAATCATTTGTTTACAGAATGAATAGCGTCACCCCGGAGTCCCCAGCTGCAATTAATTGTTATCTATTATCAAGACATGTGATCCCAGACAGAGACGATTCATCGACACAAAAGCTCTTCATGTACAGTAAGTTGTGGTTTCTCATGGACATGGGTGTGTCGGGCTTTTGAGAGCCAAAGCAAACTGAAGTGCACCTGTCGATGTCGCTGCAGGTGCGTGATGATGCCGTGATGAGCGAATAGGTGAATGTGTTCCTGAGACTAACCTGCAGCTGTGATCATTCGGGTTTCCCTGCAGCGAGGCGGCAGCCCTGGCCAGGCCCAGCCGCGAGAAGGAGTGGAAGTACGTGAGCTGCGTGTCCGACAGGCTGGCAACGCCATCTGGCTCGTCGTACATGTTCTCCCAGTACGAGTTTAGGCTCTGCGTTCCCTGGGGAAAGGATCCAAACAGGTAGGCGTCCAGCTGGTTCACTATCTCCTGGTTCACGCTGGCTTCAAACTTCCTGGCAAAGAAGGTGGGCCGCACCGTTTGCTGCAAGGGTAGAGGGAGGGAGGGAGGGAGGGAGGGGAACATAACAGCAAAGCAGGGAGGGAAGAGATAAAGAAGGGAAAAAAAGGAGAAGATTAGGAAATGGTGGTGTGCCAGGATGGCAGGGAAGTGAATATGTGTTGGCAGAAAGAAAGGTAGAGGTAGAAGGTAGTGGATGAAATGGAGATACATCTTTCACATATATGGATATGTGACTTAAATATTACATAAATTAAATCAGAATGACCCTCTCCTCAGTCTGTTTTTTTCAATCTTTTGCAGAACAAATGGTCTGCATGAATAACATCTTGTGTTCTCTCTGTCAGTGGTCCCCACAAAGGGTTACATGACACATTTATAAGACTTGACACAGCTCCCTCTGGAGCCACAAAAGGTTTTATACATTTACTTTTTCCGCATAATAATTTAGTTTGTACCTTCCAAGACCCGTAAACTGTAATATTGGTCAGTTCACCTTTAAGAAGAGAGGAAAGCCTGTCTTACATGTCCTTGGAGGCAGAATGACGTAACGACAGAAGCACCAGTACTGCCTCTTTCCCTTTTCTGTATCCATCCATTCATCACCTCTTCTCTCAACAGTTCCTTTTATTTGTGGGTCCTGTCTGGCCTCCCACACTCCACCCGTGTCTTTCTCACCCTCTCAGCCACACTGTTGCTTATGAGGTTGATTGTGCATTATGCAATGTGCCGCCTACACAGCTTGTCCTTTTCACAAAGACATCTCTTCAGTCCCAGACACAAAACTATTTGCCGACACTGTTAGCCAGCACCAAACACCTCGGTGCTACCTGCTAAAACAAAGCCGATCTAATCACTGTACACTGTTTCTCATGCCGGAGCGATGACTGCGGTACACTGGACCAGATGATGCATTAACCCTCTGTGATCTGCCACGGATATCAAATGAAACAGGAAGGGAGGGAGGCTTTAGCCCTCAGTGCAGTCAGATGAAAGTACCAACCTGTCACAGCCTTTCTTTCTGACACCTCACTCTGAAACACATTACTAAACAATGCTGCTCTGAGACAAAAGGCACATCAACACTCTCCTTCTCCAGAACAACCCCTCCACTGGTGAGCACTTCAAAATCACTATGCCGGGGAACTCTACAGGTCTACCTTGAATTATTCTCCTCATCTGCAAAGCAAAGGGAAGCCGACTTAACTTGTCTGCATGTTCCCCAGTGTTAAGGTTCAAAGGTAAACTCGGATCGTGTGCTCAATGGGATGTTGAGTCCTATTAATACCGGGGCCTGGCTGGCTTTTGGAAGGGCTGCTTTGTTCCCAAGGTTGGACTTCACTGATACCGGGGTGCCAACCAGACCCAGCGGCAGTGCCAAGGACCTGGGGTAATGCGCTGGCACTGGACTGCCAGAGACTGAGGCGAGACAGACGGCAGACGGGTCTGGCAAAGAGACGACTGAGGTCAGCTTTGACTGGTGGGTGAAGGACAGGAGAGAACAAGTGAGTCAAAGCACTTAACGGATGAGACTCAAAGAGTGTTTTTCAGCTTTTACTTTTTAGGAGCACATTAAAAGTCAAACAGTGGTACTGACTTCCTCTGGGGTCCTGGAGTCACTGCCACTCATTCACTTTAACTAAGTCTCCTCTCCCCCTCATACTCACACAAAGAGGATCTAATTACTGTTCATCTCTTTTCCCTCTCACGGTCATAATAATCAAGACATCATTTTGCACACATTGATTGTGAAAGCTGTGGGAACGGGCTGGATGCTGAGGGCGGGAGCACAAACCTGGAGGCCAGATCATTTCAAGATTGACTGCTAATGATTTCCCACGAACATGATTTTCATTAAAATTTGTTTTATTTCTGTCGGTTTATCTGATCTCTCTGATTGACATTAGCTGGAAGATATGGCTTTCTATCTGAATCAAGCCCAGGGTCAGTAGTTATCAAACTTTGTATAAAAATTATATATATTAAGACGTGCGTTCCTTTCCTTCCTTCACATACCTCCGTTGCTGTCCACTCGTCCTTGGTTGGATGGTTTCCCTGCAGCTATTTCTGTGTGATGACTTTCTTGCTAATATTTTAAAGAGATATTCAACCTGTGCTACAAGATTATCAGGGACTTTGCCCCGAGTATTATGCAACGAAGAAGCAATTAAATTCGATTCTAAACATGAAAATGAATGTGGAAATTGCCAGCAGTACCCTCAGCATTCGTCTGTCCCTCCAGACCCATCTGTATACCTTTCTGGCTTCTTGGTTTTCTCTACATGAGGTGGTATTATTACCTGGAAGCGGTGGAAGTCTGCAGGCTTGAAGTCATTCGGGGAGCATCCACACCAGTCGACGATGTGCTTGTACTGGCACTTGCACCCCAGTTTGCGGTTCCAGTTGGTGATGCGCAGGTTGTTGTCCACCATGCTCTCACAGTAGGCGCTGTTCTCCAGCACCGTGTGGAAGAACGACTGGGTGTTGAGAAATAGGAGAGGCCGACAGAGGGAGAGAGCGGAGAGACAGAGACAGAAAGACCAAGTTAGAAAATCATATACCTGCTATTTTTAACAACAGTAAGAGACTGGAGACTCACAGTAACTCATGATAAACATCCAATTTCCCAACAGAGACCAATTCTCATCAAATCCTGCATCTTGCCTTCACTTTATGAGTTCATAGCCGAACTCACTTGTCAGTCAAAGGTTAAGAAAGTGTGAAAGCGCTGTGTGTGTGTGTGTGTGTGTGTGCGTGTGCATGTGTGTGTTTGTGTGTGTGTGTGTGTTACCTCGGCTGGCAGCAGAGTGTATGCGTAGAAACGCTTCATGTTGATGACCAGGTCGTCCTTGGAGTTGATGACGTAGTCGATGAACATGCGGTTGAGAAGGAACCAGTCGGACCCGCCGTCCACCGAGATGCCTTCTGGGATTTTACGGTCACCCAGCCTCCACATGTGGGTGTCGCACTCAAAGAACAGACGGTCGAGGCCCTGCTTACGGATAAACCTGGTGAGCACACAGAAACATATGGTTACAGCACGGAATACTCTAATATAATTAAATATAAAAAACTGTGAGGGACAATTATTTCTGAGACGTGCAGGTGAGAATTAGACTTTAAAAACACAATTTACATAAAAAGAAGCAGTCTGTGGGTCTCGTTTTATCTTTAGAGGGACGCTTGCATATAATCAGCAGCTCATTTGTATTTTTTCCCAATTTTTGTCTTTGCTTTCTATAAACAGAAGATTTTGGAGCTGTGCCTGTCCTTGTTGACTTCAATGAACGTTGTCCTCTTTCAGTAAGAAACAAACATTTGAGTGCTTGTAATAAAATCGGGATCTGCTCCTTCTAAATGCTTTGCTTTTGTATTGTGTGTTATGAATAAAGTTGCTTTAAAAACAGAATCTGGAGCCTAATGTAAGAACTCATGACGTTTTCTATCAAGGTCAAGGAAAACTAAAAGTACTCACTAAAAATATACTCAGGTAGACTCAACTGCTGACTAAATAGAAAACATATTCATCATTTGAAACATTAATTGTGATTAGTTCAGTATCACAATAGTTTTGTATCCAAACATTTCTGTCCTTAAGCAGAACATGTCTCCGGTCCTCGGCCCTAAATGACAAGAAGAGCGACACCGTGCATACATAACGGATGGTGTTACTCCTGTGAACGTATCGAGTGTTAGATGAAGGGAGTCAGATTCAGGTCGAGCAGGTCGGCCTGTTCCCTCTGTCACCTGAACAACAAACACTGTTGATGTATTGACCGTGTGGCTCACAGGCGCACACGTGCAGATATGCACAGTTGACATTTTAGAAATGCACTCGTGCATTTTTCAATGAGTTTCATTTTTTTTCAATTCGTTTCAGCCGTCCACACATATGCATGTAGCGGATGGTGGATTACCGAGATCCTTATTGTTGTTAAAAACTGAATTAAATCAGGAACAAAACAGCTTCACTCTCATCAAACAGCACTGAATAAAATACTGCGCCGCCAATAGAAAAAAGGCACCGTTGAGTCACGCTGACTCATGCATCCATGCTGGCGGATTCTTGTTAAATTATTTTCCTGTGTTTCGGGGGTATTTCCTCCCACTGTGTCGGGCGATGGATGTGTTTTGGCGGGGGTGTGATGAGGCAGAAAGTAGAGGGCAGCAGGGTAGAGGCAGCAGGAAAAGGGCATTCTGGCGGCGACCTCGCCAGCTCACCCCACCGAGGAGGTTAATTAACGGAGCCACAGATGGGAGCTAATTGTATTATGATTCAGTGACCACGCCGTGCTGGCAGGAGTGCGCTGTGTGTGTGAGTAAGAGAGACAAGCACAGAGAGTTAGAGAAAGGTTGGAGTGTTTAATATGAAGTTAGTAAAAGGTGCATATCACCTGGCGTTGTCCCTGCCGTGGGACTTGATGAAGTTCATGTCTCTGTATTTGGACAGGAAGGCCACCAGCTGGTTGTTGGTCCTGAAATGGAAGAAGATGGCTTTCTTTCGAGAGGGAAACATATGGAGAGAGCTAGCTGGAACATTGATTCTGCAGTACAGTACATGTTAAAAGTACAATGTAAGCTTTGGAGGGAAATTATGCAAATGAATCCATCTGTTACTGGCTGCTATAAAAACAGACAGTGATATAAGAAATACATTTTTCAAGTTCTAATCCCGTGTCCCTGTGTTTGCTCTTGTTGAATGCTAAATATATGTCAAATTATATCAAAATCCCTCTTTCATCTTTCTGTAAAACGTTAAACTACTTTTAATGACGAGAACTTTAGAGCGTTTACAAAATCTATCCAATCAAGTGCGATCTGGGTTTACGAGCTAATCTCGCCCATCATGTAACACGACACTTGACAATTGGTTGGTGGCGTGTCGCTAACAGAGCGATATCGTGGATCAGAGGCGTGTGTTTCAATCTCTTCAAAAGATTCATCTCACTGTGACCTTTAGGTCCCAGAAAATACATCTTTCAATTAGCTCCTGACCGTGAGTGATGGGATCCGACACAAAGACACCATTTTCTTCCAAAGTTCAAACTGTTTTTGGTTATTTCAAATAGGAAAGTTCTGTAATTGTGTTCTTCACAGTATCTTTTCTCACCGGTTAGAGGCGAGTGGAGCTCAGAAGGCAAATGTAATGTCACATACTTCCCTGCACCAATCAGGATTAAGCAACACCTGAATCAACATGTAATGACAGAGTCCTGATAAAACAGTTAAGCTGAGCCTTTGAGTGTTAAACTCTTGATATAGAATAACTAAGGATTGTTCCAAACTTTGTCATAAACATTGAAGGATCCTCCCTATACATGTTTTAAGACATATACTCTGTTTGGAATATAACTTCTGTCTGATATGTTTTTTCCGCAAACAAAGTTCAATTAAATATTTAAGACTCTTAAGACTACATTCATTCCCTGCACGGGAGCCCAGTAAATCTGCTCATGTTGTATTTGATCTGGCATATGCGTCTGGTCCACTTTGGACATTTTTCCAGCAACTTGAGATCTGACGGGCCAATCACAACTGTTATCCAGTATGGGGCATGTGTGAGGCGTTGACTAAAGAGAAACGTCGTTGACGGCTACAGCTGGTGTGGAAGCCGCTATCGCGTGGCCTGACATCACCAGAACAAATCATAATGCATATTTGCTAAAGCAAATAACACGATGAGATTTGTCTGGTTCCCAGGTAAAGTAAAAACACAGCAACACTTGTTTACTGACATATTGATGCTACGCCATCTCTGAGCTCATCTCTTCACGCTGAAGTCTGTTCACAGTTCCCCGCCGCTCAGCTCTACGTCACATGTTTCGTTGCTCTAGTTGGTTGTAGGTCTACCCAACTGCATCCAGAGGCCTTTTGGTCTTTGCTAAGTGAGAGGTTCCAGACTAATTTACTCCGTCTCCCTCATTGAAATATCCAAATGCTTTTAGTTTCAAAAGATAACTATCTGACACAAGATGTCACAGAAACGTCTATTCTGAGCCTTCGATTTCCCACATCACACTTGTGTGAGTTGTGAAATGTAAATAATGTAAAAACAAACTCCTGCATACATCATTCTGCACCGTGAATCTCAAACGACCAAGTGAAATAACAATAAGCAGAACACATGTATGAGTTGAGGGGGACTTCACTGTTATTGAGAAATACTTCACATTTGGGGCTTTAAGTCACATTTAAAGAGCTCGGCTGCTCTTCGTGTCGGCCCCTCAGTCCTTTCACGCCGTTCAAACTATTAAGGATTATACAAAAGATTGTGCTGTCCATGATTTGATGAATGCTCTTACATTATAGAGCAGTCAACTCCCTCATACACGGGCCAGACAGGCTAAAAGCTTTGCTCTGCAGGCTACGCCCCAGTCCATGGCTCTAACATCTCATCTGTGGTGGAGCTTTTCATGATGGCTTGGCTTGCCTTTCTAAAAGAGCTGCGAGGCCCTGGTGAAAAGCTCAAGGATCATTGGGGGGAGGGACAAGCGCATATTAATGTCATTTTCTCTTCAAGGAGCAATTTCACAGCCTGGGGGGCTTATCTTAGGAGGTCCTGAGCCATAAAGCCTAACTGATGATGTGCTACACAGACACATGCAGTCCTCTCTGTCTCTACTTCCCACACACACACACACACACACACACACACACACACACGCACACACACACACACACACACACACACACACACACGCACACACACACACACACACACACACACACACACACACACACACACACGCACGCACACACACACGCACACACACACACACACACACACACACACACACGCACACACACACACACACACACACACACACACACACACACACACGCACATCTAGTATGCACACAGACAATGCGGAATACATGCACAGAGACACACAAATGCTTGTAGGCACGCAGCCCCGCACACACACACACACACACACACACACACACACAGAGAGCAAGGGGAATTCATGTCAAGCTCCAGATTTGCCACCTGAGTGGTCACCTCGTCCACTGGGTCTAGTTTGCTTACTGTCAGCCCTGTGGCTGCTCTGTCTCACAGTGGTATTCACACGCACACATTACTGTAACACACACACGCACACACACACACACACACACACACAATAAACCGCTGTGAGGTACTGACAAATGTGACCATTTTCAATGTCGTAGCCATTTAAACTTCATCATTATGTCACTGTTTCACTTCCATAGTCTTACTGTTAAATCAATAATGTGCCTTTTAATAACACAGACTTTAAGTACATAATTCCAGGAGGGAACTCCAGGTTATGAACGCACACTGACACCACTCAGACAGGAGAGAGAGGAATCATACATTCACCACCTTCGTCCTGTAAAAGACGTCAAAAAGTTTGGCAACTTAATTTTACAATCTCGTTAGTTTTTCAACACGTTTTTATGTCATTTTTATGACATTTTTCAAACACATTTTCAAGCACGTTGGCTTAGTTCCAATGGGTAATAAATGGCACAACAGGAAATTACACCTATCCCTTATGGAACAATGCTAAAATATGAGATACAACTTTTTATTCACAGAGACAGGACAAAGTGAAAGAGATGAGACGATATGATGCCTGCAGCCAGCCATCGGACAAAGCTCAGACTCCTTAAAAGCAGCTATAAAGTCTATAAAGAGGTAAAAGGAAGGAGGCTGTGTAGATAAAAGCTAGGAAAGAGGGTTGTACTTTGACAGAGCAAGCATGTAACTCATCCTCTGGCCTCTGGACACACACACAGACACACACACACACACACACACACACACACACACACACACACACACAGAGCATATCTCCCCCTGGACTAAGCCCCTCTGCTGGTGTGAGGGGCTCTGGGTTTGCCTTTCAGAGCTATCCATGCGTGGCAGGACAGACATTATCAGGGAATTAGTGGGGAAATAATGCTTGTCTCTAATCCCACTGATAACAACAGCAGTAGTCAGGACAGTGTAGTCAGGACAGTGTAGTCAGGACAGTGTAGTCAGGACAGTGTAGTCAGGACAGTGTAGTCAGGACAGCGGGGCAGGGAAGCCGCAGTATGGTCATCAAGGCAAAACGAGTGCAATTTGGAATGTCTGAGACCAAAAATACTGGACTTAAAGCTACATTAAGAACAGACTAGTGCAGATTCACAACATGTACGTATTTTGAGTGGAGTAGAAGTCAGCTGAATCACGGAGTGAAGTGGTCGTGAATGGCAGCTTTTGCATGGAAAGGTGTGGTGAGGGAGCAGCGGTTATACGACCATCCGACACGCAGTTCTGATGAAGCACGCTGGCAGCTTAACACATGGTTGCATTCGCAGACATCTGCTTATACCAACATGTTTTTATGCGCCGTAGTGTGCTACAGTAAGTCCATGATGATAATGTAATGCTGAGGTGTTTATTGCTGAGGGAGAATGTCTCTCTTTCCGGCCAATTCCTTTTCCAAAGAAATCAGAGAGGATTATCAGCGACAAAACAGCTGAACGGGTTTCAGTTTGTTGCTCGAGGACACTCGAGCAGCACGGATGCTCCCTCTCACGGGGGTCTGAGCCCAGGCCTGCCACTTAAAAAGGACCACATTTGCAAGTTCAACTTAGTAAATATGCAGGGAGCAGACTTTGTAAAATGCAAGCTGTGGTCACAAATGCACTTGCTAAGCAGAGATACAAGATTGCCATTTACATATTTCCATATTGCATGGATCCAAAACATGCAGTTCCCTCTTGTTCCCCTTCCCTAGCTGCTTATTCTCGCTCCCTCGCCACTCCCTGTCATCTCTGCCTCTCGGCTCCCTCTCTCGCTCCATCAATCGTTTCGTTTCCCAACAGATGGGGCTTAAAACCTCCACTGTCAGCCCTTTTCTCAACAACATCACCCTCATGCAAATGAGGAGGCAAGAGACAGGAGGAAAACTCAGTGCATGCACTCGTAAATACCTTTAATCATGCTGTGACAGACATACAGACAGGATAAATATGCACACATGTACACAGGCAGGTGCTGAGATACACTGAACTATGCAGACATAAACTCAGGTGTGCACACACTGGTGCAGAAACACAGACACACATACACAGACAGACACAGACGGCGTGTCAGCAGCGTTCGATATGGTGAAAAAACAAGCAAACACAACAAGATAGAGTCTATGAACAAAATCCATCTTTGCCCCGGCATCTTAGCTCCAGCTGTGGAGACATCAGATCCCGCTTCTTTTTACCCAGTGGCCATTACAGCTTATCTAAATTCAACTGGTGGACATCTGGCTGCGCAGAAGAGATAACTCTTCCTTAATAGGAGGATTTTAATTGGCTGCTGCAGAGCTACATCAAAAACCCAGCAGACCCTGAACTCCCAGGAGGACTATAAACTCACATAAAAAAAAAAAAAGTACAAGTCACAAAAATTCTCCTGCAGTCGGCTATTTCCATGACTTCATGTCCACGTAGACTTTGTGGCTTTAATTACCTTTTACAGCCTCTTAAAGGGGATGTTTTGGAGCGGAGAGATGCCTTTCGGACTGTACAGTACATAACCGGCGTGGAAAGTCAATAGGTATTGACCCTGGGCAAACAAATTGCGATCAGTTCACCATGTAACCCATTCAATGGAGTACAAGCCAGGAAGCAGGGAATAGAAGATGTGAACGAATAGTGTTTGAGAAAAGCAGAGGTTCTACTTCATCGATCTGTTTGGTTTGGAGTGACTCTTTATTTAAAGCTCACAGTTAACCGCAGCAGCCCAGACCAGCGTGTATTTAATTTCCTCCATATTGGCTGAGAGCGGTCTGCTATTGTTGAGCACGCCCGGCGACTGCCTTTGTCACCTTTATTTCTGCAGACGGTTGCACCTTCACCCCACTTTATTTCCTTCCAGGACAATTCTTAAAGAGATGACCTGCCTCCCCCTCAGGTCTCCCCTATTGCCCGTCACTGAACCCGCCTTCCTGTTCGATGAGTCTTTGTTACCTGATGGGGTAGTCGGCAGCACTGAGGTTGATGAAGAAATCCCAGCTCCAGTCCCTCATGGCCAGCAGGTCAGCCATGCTGCGAAGATACATGGTCAGCAGACTGGCCCCACCCCAGATGGTGGCCATGCGCCAGGGTGTCACCCTCACATTTGAATACTGGGCAGCCAAGGAGTGCACCTGTCTGTGCAGGTAGTTAGAGCGCTGGAACAAAGGAAATGATCACACACTGATTACTATTGTGTCTGATACCAAGCAATTATATTGTACAAGTATTGAAAAAAGGAGAAGCTCGTATTATCATACCAATCTTTCATTGATGAAACAAAGGATTGAAGGTGCATGGTGTTTGTAGGCTCTCTGCGGCTCACCTGATCAACATGTATGTAGTAGTAGTGCGAGCTGTGGTAGATGGCTTTGAAGAGGCGATGAAACTGGCGAGAGGCTCGTCCATGGACCACCAAGACAAACGCTATTCTGACTGGTTTAGATGGAAAGCTCTCAGCAGAGTCCTCGTCCCACTGGACATTAGCGTTGGCTTTACCTGTGAAGTATGAAGACAACAGTTTAGCGATGATACCTGTGGAAACATCTTGCATTTAATTAAGGCGACGCTGCGTGGATTCCTCATCAGTAACATAATCAGAATTTGGTTTGATTATGCCAGGGTGCTGGAAAGGAGGCTCCGACCGCTTGTCGAACCTCAGATTCAAGAGGAGCAGTGCGGATTCCGTCCCGGCCGTGGAACAGTGGACCAGCTCTTTACCCTCGCAAGACTACTGGAGGGGTTCTGGGAGTTTGCCCAACCAGTCTACATGTGCTTTGTGGACTTGGAGAAGGCTTTCGACCGGGTCCCTCGGGGGGTCTTGTGGGGGGTGCTGCGGGAGTATGGGGTGCCGGACCCGCTACAACGGGCGATCCGGTCTCTGTACAACTGCAGTAGGAGCTGTGTCCGCATTCTCGGCAATAAGTCAGACACGTTCCCGGTGGGTGTTGGCCTCCGCCAGGGCTGCCCTTTGTCACCGGTCCTGTTCGTGATTTTCATGGACAGGATATCTAGGCGCAGCCTGGGGGCGGAGAACGTCAGTCTCGGGGGTCTCGGGATCGCTTCTCTGCTATTTGCAGATGATGTGGTCCTGTTAGCCTCCTCGGATCATGACCTCCAGCATTCACTGGGGCGGTTTGCAGCCGAGTGTGAAGCGGCGGGGATGAGAGTTAGCACCTCCAAATCTGAGGCCATGGTTCCCTGCCGGAAACCGGTGGATTGCTCCCTCCAGGTGGGGACGGAGTGCCTACCTCAAGCGAAGGAGTTCAAGTATCTCGGGGTCTTGTTCACGAGTGAGGGTAAGATGGAGCGGGAGATCGACAGACGGATCGGTGCGGCTGCAGCAGTAAAGCAGGCGCTGCACCGGACCGTCTTGGTGAAGAGGGAGCTGAGCCGGAAGGCAAAGCTCTCAATTTACCACTCGGTCTACGTTCCTACCCTCACCTATGGTCACGAACTCTGGGTCGTGACCGAAAGGACAAGGTCGCGGCTACAAGCGGCCGAAATGAGTTTCCTCCGTAGGGTGGCCGGGCTCAGCCTTAGAGATAGGGTAAGGAGCTCGGTCATCAGGAGGGAGCTTGGAGTAGAGCCGCTACTCCTTCGCGTCGAAAGGAGTCAGCTGAGGTGGTTCGGGCATCTAATTAGGATGCCTCCTGGACGCCTCCCACTGGAGGTTTTCCAGGCACGTCCAACTGGGAAGAGACCCCGGGGAAGACCCAGAACACGCTGGAGAGATTACATCTCCCAGCTGGCCTGGGAACGCCTCGGGATCCCCCAGAATGAGCTGGAACATGTTGCCGGTGAGAGGGAGGTCTGGGTCGGCCTGCTTGACCTGCTGCCACCGCGACCCGACCCCGGATAAGCGGTGGAAAATGGATGGATGGATGGTTTGATTGCCAAATCAAATCTGTTATTTATGTGATAATCTATGAGAAATTAGTCAGGATTATGTACAAGTAAAGAAAGCCATGCTACAACTAAGATATTATTGAATATATGAATAAGTGAGAACAAAAAATGCTTCTTCAGCCTCTGCTGTGGAACAAAAAAACAGAACCACAGAACCATTACTCACTCGTACATTTTCTCATGTGATTGAATTGGAACTATGACAATTTCACCCAGACACTGTAACTACTGTCCTCCTTCAGATGGGAATCCAATGAGAGATTCCTCTGGGGCTTTCAGGGTGTAGCACGGTTTGACAATGTGCCATCATTCCTCTTCGGCAGAATTCCCAGAAGATGCCTTGGTTCTCACACAAATGACCAGAATAAGCATCCAGGCAAACACCGCCCTGGCCGCGGCCGGCCAAGCCACTGTCAAATTAAACAATTCCAACAATCTCTGGAGAGTCATTGGCAACCTCACATTGCTCCGTTGTGTGGTTCCGTACCAACCTTAACCGTTCAAAGACAAACACTCGCTCTTCAAACCTGAAGGAAACCTTCCTCGAAGCAGTTCTGCACCATCAAGGCCCAAAACATTATCACAGTTTGTTCTTAAATCTTCGGTTATAACAACACACGTGCACACGCAGCTCATGACACATATTTGTTCACAGAATGTGCCTGATGTAGATTAATGACTATAATGTGGGACTGTAGTTCCCAAGAGCCTGTCTGTGCTGAAGAAGAAGAGGAAGCTGAGGGAATACTGAGATGGGGGCTGTTTCTTCCCCTGAGGTTATGTTTCGTCAGAAATGCCCCTCCCGACTCCTCTCCCCCAGTGGCCCTAAGGTTCCTGTAATCACTCAAAGGTTTAGGGTAAGTGTCCGACATTTCGTCTCTTTTTGAGTAGACGGGGACGGTCCGTCCCGTCCAACAAACTCACTCGTTTAAATTTAAGGGCAGGTGTCCAATATCTAAGGTTGACCACAAGGTTGGGGTTAATGACACGCTCCCCTGGCTCCATTTGGCCCCAATTGGCTGTGGCTTCTGTCAGTCACTTATTACTCTCGCTCTCTCTCTCTCTCTCTCTCTCTGCATGTGTGTGTGTGTGTGACAGCTGAGGGGGGAAATCTACTGTGGGCCATATCAGATTGAACGGTAATTGGTGGCCAGCTAAGAAGGTTCACTGGTTTGCTTTGCACACGGATAATTGGCCAGTCACTTCACAAAGCACTTCGAGAGTGTGTGCTATGCTAGCTGAACTAATGAGCACTGCTGTGTGTGTGTGTGTGTGTGTGAGATAACTTAACCGTCAGTTTTGTCGAGCATGTGTGTTTATCTGTGAATGAGCATCATGTGTAGAATTTTTTTGTAGCAGACTGCACCTTATTTTGAAAGAAAAAAATAGAAGCCCTCCTCATTACTCTTCATCATCAATCTTTTAAACTACCTCTCCCTCATCTGCTATCACCCGACTCTCTTCCTCCATCATCTTACCCAGCCGCCGTCTTGACGGCTCATGTGAGAGGTTAGAACAAGAGCTGAGCTGCAGTATATCCCAAAGGGATCGGACCAAATTGCGTTTGAGAATGTCCTGGGGATTTTAGTTTGCTCCTAAAAAAACATCCACAAAACTAGGCTTGCTGTCGTACAAATCATACTGTATCTATGGGTTTGATTTCTACGAATGCAATAACAAATTTCATTTCCTTTTCCTTTAACCTGTAACGACAGGCCACTCAGGGGCAAAGCAAACACAACCCTGAACACTGACATATTATCACCTGTTCATTTGATGTAGCAAACCTGTTAACAAACGGTTGCCTATCAACACAACCTGCAGACACATGGCGATGAGAGCATTTGGTTCTAGCTAACCTGCTAACAACATGTTAATGAAACTAGCATGTTTTAATCATGCTGCTCAACCCACCAAGTAACAATCACACAAGCGTACTCAGCTCCCTGACCTTAGCAGGCAACCATCACATCACCAGCGAAGACAATCAGCTGCTGAGTGAAACATCCCTCTCTCACATCTCGCTCCACTGGGTTCACCAGCGATCACTAACTCTGTCTGCTGTGTGGTGCTGGGCAGGAAGCATGTGAGCTGATGATTGGGCGAGGCGACTCAATTAACTCAATCATTTATCAACTTTCAATGGAATCCTATCGTTAAGATCGTGAAAACATCACGCTGTACATTACCACTAAGTTCAATGTAACAAACACAATACCCCAGTGTGGTTAAATCTAATTATTGTCTTAATCTGATTACTCTCCTATTTTGTGATCATGCATGTAAACATAGTCAGTGTAGAGCTGGAAACATTTATTTATTTTTTCCCCATAATATAACTTTCCTGTTCATTTTACACTAAAGTTCTTTATTGAATGAGACAATACTTCTCTAATGACGCACCGATTTGCCTTTTTCAGTGCCGATACGATACCAATTCCTGGACTTTGGGTGTGTGCCGATACCAAGTATCCAAAACCAGTGTTTGATCAATAAACTGCACGCCTCATAGGAGTGACGGGATTATTCTTTTATGTGTAAGAAACATCAGGCTTGGCTTAAACATTGCTTTCTTAACTGTAGAACAAACTATAAAACTAAATATAACAAATAAATACATAGCTATAAATGTACTGAAGGGGTTATTCATAAAACAATGGTAACCGATACCAGAACGGCTTATTGTCACCGACACCTGATCCAGATGTGAGCCGGTATCGGTGCATCTTTATACTTTTCATCTTCAAGTATTTAATTCACACACGAGGATAAAAAATAGTCTTTACCATGAAATTACATAGTCTATCTATGGAATTAAAACATGCTATATCGTGATGAATATGTTGTTATCACTCAAGAGAGTTAACTATATATCGAGATAGAAGGTTTTGTCCGTATCGCGCAGTTCTAGAACAATGAGCCAGAAGAAACTAACTCACAGAGCTGAGGGGAACTTCAGATCTGGGTTTTTGTTTCGGTTTGTCACGATGAGCAGTTGCATTCACATGATTATTTGATTGATCGTTATAACTATATTGATTATAGCAGCTTTAAGCATGATTTATACACACGTCCTGTTCAGTACAAGGCCATTGGATTAAAGCTACACGCTGGAGCAACGCAGCGCAGTTACATTAGTCAAGTTAGCATGTGGAGGAGAAGAGATTGAACATGTTCCTCCTGTATTCAATGATGCTAATGCCGGAGCTATCACAGTAACTTATGTAGCCAGGGCCTCAAGGACAGCATACCCATCAAATCAAATTGGCCAATTGTCTGCTAACAAGGTTAGGACTTGAATCGGGACGGGGAACAGAGGAGGGAAGAGAGAGAGAGATATAACTCATTGAAAGGCAGCAGGCAGGGAGACGCAGAGTCAGAAAGAAAAGTGATTTCATTTAGCTGTCGTGTTGTTACAGCCCAGCCACCAGGGGAAGGCCCTTTTCAATGTCTTTGTCTGCTTTGATCAAACTGTCAGTGTGAGTGTGATGGTGAGTTGCTGTGTGAGATGACAGCAGCTCAGGCACGGACAAACGATGCTCCTCTTCTCGGGGAGGGGAACGTACAAAAGTTACAAAATCCCGGTGCCTCCTCGAGTCCTAAAAACACGAGCGAGGTCCGTGAAGGTATCTGAGTAGAACAGGCAGGATGTATAACGGCTTTCTCCTCCTACCCTGCTGTCCACACCGCAGTCAGTCCACTCCTATGTGTGTAAATGCATCTGTGTGTACGTGCTGTTCATTTCAACACGGCTACTGATGCGTGCTCCCCACCACCGATGGCGGCAGCCACAACAGATTATGTTTCCAGAATCCACGGCCAGACTGCAGATGTCCACAAATTCAAAGAGTTTGTGTGCGTCTGCTTGACAAAAAGAAAGGAGAACTTGTGTTCTGTTGCCAGCTTGACAAAACAAATGAAAATTGGAAACCAATTTAGAGAGAATACAAGCAGCGTCCCCATTTTCTCCAACAATTTACTTCAACAATTATATATCAGCAAAAAACATCATTTCTTGCCTTTGACAAGAATTGCAATTATGAGAACAGGAAATATTTTACCATGTACTAAAGGCTGAACGGTCACACCACTCTGTGTACTTAGCTTTGCGGATATTACGTATTACTTTTCTGTTTTTTTGCAATGAAAAAGAAAGCGTGTAGAGCAGAGTAGTAAATAACGTCAAAACAACAATAACATGTCAAACAATACGAGGTAAGCCCAATAATAATAGCTGTCAGCATTTTTTGCATGAGGTTTTTCTTCGCATCTTGTACTTTAGTAAGGCCCCTAGAATAATCAACTCAACCAAACACGTCTTTTAGCTTATTGATCTCCTGATTTTGAATCTATTTGTTTCTTAAAAGTGGTGAGAGTCTGTCTCACATATTGGAACTGTTTTTACATAAATGCTGCATTTGCAGGAATTATTTATCCTCATATATCTTACGGTAATATGAGTGCATACCTACATACATACAATACATGCATCATACATACATGAACACACCCTCTAAACCAGAGTTTGTGTCTTTTCTCCAAAAGTTGATGTCGCGTAGTTCTGTGCACCAATCAGAGCTTAGCAACAGTCGAAGAAAAGTGTGACGACAGTTGTGGGGTTATTTGCTTCTGTCACCAGCACCGTCCATCAAATCTAGACTAGTTAAGTTTGTGAGTGTTACACTCAATAAATAGTACCAGAGGATGTTTTTACCCCAGACTGTAACACTGATTGTTGGTTATTTAGACATGAAAATGTGATGTTATAGAGAAATACTTTAAGCGGCACCAGATGTACAAATCGTGGTTTTACATAACAGAACCATTTGGACCTCAACATTCAGGTGTCCCTACGATGGGAAGCTTGATAGACATCGACCCGTTCAGTGAGACGTTATTCCTGCACAATACAAAGTGACTGCACTAGTGACTGAAATCAACTAATCAATCTAATTAATTACAATGATGGACTTACCCTCGAGGGGGCAGTAGCGAGTGACCGTCTCAGGCATTAATTGCCCTTCCTTGTGTCTGCAGTACACCTCAGCAATCTGTTGCCGGCACTCTTTGCTCTTGGCTCTGGAAAGAGCTGAAATGGCTTCCTTCCCACTGATCTCGCACTTTGGTGGATCGTCGTAGGTCACCGCCAGCGGCGCTGCAGTCGCTTGCCTCCTGTGCGGGTGCTGATGTCGGTGCTGGGACTGGGCCTGCTGGGCCTGTGGGGCACTGTAGTGTTGCCGAGACCCTCCCGCTCCGCCTTGACCACCTGGGTAGGAGGCGTTGTTGCCGACCGCCAGAGGCTGGTGGCCTACAGGCAACACTTCGTTTGAGCCGCGGCCCAGACTCGGGGAGTTGTCCCTCCAGGTCTGCTGCTGGGCGTGGGCTTTCTCCTGCAGATGCTCCCGCTGCTGCTTGCTGCTGGTGGCGCCTACAGACTGTCGGTGTGGCTGTGAGCGTGCGCCAAAGTTACTATTGTCAATATTCTCAAAGTCTTTGGGCACAGAGTTCTCGTTATTGCTGTCCACTCTATTTTTCTCCTTTGGCCGATGGGAGTAATATCCGTCCTGGATGAGGAGAGAGGGAACAGGAGGAGAGAGACAAGGGAGGCGCTCGGTAAGTCGTGGGCAGTGAGAACACAAACAAGAAAAAACAACATCTGAATTGAGTGAGCGCGGTGCATATCAAATGTCGGATTAACAATCAATGTGGCATGTATGAGTGGGCAGCGCTGCATTGAACCGTGAGGCATGAAATGAAGTAGCAAGGTACTGAGCGTGAGGACTACAAGGCGCAACCTAACTGGAGGTGAAGCGGGGCCGAGGGCTCCGCCGCTCCGTGCCATCATCAGATTAGCCCCGGTTTCAATTAGATTCTCCCTCAAGTGGGCCCAGCACTCCGTAAACAGATTACCAAGACAGGATAAAGGGTCAGAATATGACTGTGAGTCTGTGTGGGTGTTTGTGTTTATGCGCGTGTGTGCATGCATGTGTACCTTTTTCCTTTTTCAGTGGAGCCACATGAGAATGTGAGGAAAATTGTAGTGGTGTGGCGTGTGACTGGAAAGGCTGCACTTGTCAGTGCCCTGCGTCTGCATATGTGAGATAGTGTGCGAGTGTGTGTGCGTACGTACAATTCCCCTATCTTTCCAGCAGAATAGGCTGAAAGCGAAGGAGGGACACAGGGGAGACCGGAAAGAGGGAAAAGGGTAATGAGTGAAAGTGGGGCGGGTAAGGCGACAGAGCGCTGACACAAGGCACGAGTTCTGCCCCCAGGAAGCGCTGACTTGTTCCAGTGAAATGTGCCGCGATGCATCAAACGGAAAACTAAGAAAGCTGCCTGGCTGCCACGCCGCTGTTGCACACCTAGACCTAGTGTGTTGCTAGACACAAAAGGAAGAGGCGAAGGGGGGGGGGGGGGGGGGGGGGGGGGGGGGGG